CACAAAGATTCTCAAGCAGTTGTAATGAGATCTGGTCCATTTTTTTATAACAACAGTCAGCTCTGATTTGATGAAATCAGTATGCATGATAGGAGAGTATCAATTTAATCAGCAAAGACATTAAATTATTTATTTTGATAAGGTACGAATACCTTCTTCCAAAGCTAACAGGTAGTTTATTATGACATGGTTGAATTGTTTTATGCTCATGTTATCACCTTATTATAATATTAGTGTATATGAATCCAAACAAGACTGAAAACATGAAGGCTTTGACCTTATCAACATTACATTTCTCTCTCTTATTCTGTCTTTGATAACACCAGTTTTGTATGTCTAAAAGATGTAATTTTTCAGAGATTTCTATGCAGAATTGCTGAAATTTCAAAGTCTTGCTTTGATTTGGGATGAAAGAAAACACTGAAAATCAGTATTTCCTGAGAAACACTGATTCTGAGTTTTGACAAGCTCTAGTAAACTTGAAAATCACTGCTTTTTAGCTCAGGGATCAGTTAATCTGTTTCTCTCGGGAGAAGACTCAACAAAACTGCAATTAACATGTGGTCTATACCCTACCTTCTTGGTTAGAAATGTATCTAGAACTGAAATCTCTCAAGATCATTCAGTTTTTCCTTTTATGCATTGTTAGCTGGTCCTACAGAGCCATCCATCCAGTCATCTGCTCAGGTCTGGTGGTCTTTTATCCAAATGTCGCAAGAGGATCAAGTTCTGGGACAATGAATCTAAACTGAAAAACGCTACTTTTTGAATTAAGCACTATCCATGTCCCTTTTTTAAAATCCACTCTGCCCAGCTTTAAGATTTTGTAGTGGATTTGTATGATTACATCTCTGTGGATGGATTCACTCTCCTAGAGCAGAAACAAATTAAATATGTGCTTGCCTGCTATGGGGCAGCTATACTCTACATTTTTTAATCAGTGTTCATCCTCTTTCTACATTTCCTTTATGGGAAAATGTTAGAAGAGAAAAATCTTAGGAAGATCTTAATTGCTAGAAGCACTTAATAGACTGTCCTTTTGGTTTCATGTAAGTGACCACAGCACACGTAGAAGCTAACCTCACCTACTGCACACTGTCTGCTTTTATGTTTTGGGAGCTATTTCTGCCTGAAGAATGTGTTCCTAAAGTACATTTTCAGAGGCCCTTATCCTACAGAACTGGGTACAGCTTTCTACCCCAGCCTTTTTCAGAGAAAAAAACAAAACAGATTTGACAAATCCAGTCCTGCAGAAATTCACATGAGTTTTGCAATCTCCCCATCTTGATTAAAAATGAAAATTATGAAGAAAATGGAATGCTTCGTCACTTCAAATAAAAATGACATTTCTTTCCTACAGCCTCAATTTTACTTTTAAGCCAAAAGTTCTAAAATGCTCAAATACACAAATAATATTTTATGCCAGGTCAAATGAAACATTTAACCTGATCCAAGACTTGTTTGGGACTTTATGATTTGCCAAATCTTTGTGGGTCAATTCAAAATATTTTATTTATTTTCTTGAATTGACAGCAAACAAACAGAAGTGAAAAAGTTATTCACATAGCTTTAGCTGAAAATGATCTTAAAATATAGAGAGTTTGGTCATGAGAGTGAATGCCTCCAGTTCCAGATATATTTCTTCTTGGCTACCTTCCCCAAAAGATTTGATTTTGCCTTCCCAACCTAAGGTTTACTTCCCTTGTGTTTATTATTTGATAAAGTGCCAGCAAATGTAGGAGATCAGCAATACACCAAAGATTATTTTCTTGCTGTGTTAGTTGGATTCTTAAGCTGCTTGTGGCTTTTTTGATGTTGAAGTAGGTTTTATTCTACTGTCTGTCTGGGCTACATCACTGCTACAACTTCAGTGCCAGAAGTTGTGTGCACAGACAAGGCTAAAGCATGATTATAATTGTAGGTATAAGGAGTTTTATCTGATGCTCTCCCCCTGGATAGGCTTATTATTTCTGGAAAGAAATCTAACCAAATTAATTACTGATGTAACAATCCAACATTGCTGTATGTAGCATGCACTTAACTTATCTGCAGGACTTTCATTTTAAGCATAAAACTGAAATATTAAGCACGTTTCTCTTGACAGGCCCCCTGATAAGTAGAAGATGCCTAGGAACTCAGTAGTACTTGTGCAGATGCCAGAACTGAAGCCCTGGCAGGGTACAGCACGATGCAGTGGGGCAGGTTTGTGTCAGCTCTGGGAGCAGAGCTCAGCTGTCTCTGCAGTGCAGATCAGTCCATTAACCTCTGCTGATGCTCAGAATCCCTCAGCTAATACTGCTTTCCTAAACTAAATTATTTACTTTGAGCTATCACACACTGTTGTGTTTTTCTGAGAGAGTATTTAGGATGCAGTGATTAGGAGATATGTTTCCTGCTCCCTTGTAAGGCGAGGCTAGGGGAGATAAATGGAATTGACTGATTGCAGAACAATAATCTTCTCAGCTCCTCTGGCCTTTCTGAGAAGGAGGGAAAGGTTTGCTCACCTCATCTACACTTCCCTCTTTAACCTCCCTGTGTAACTGTGAATAGCTGCAATATGTCAAAAGCCACAGGTGCCAGTGCAGGCAGCAGCTCAGGTATTAAGTTGAAGGAACATTACATTAGCTTTTTAGCCAATTAACATGGCTGTAGGGGGGACCATCTGGAATAAATCTGTGAAGCAAACAGTTCACAGAAACCCAGCAGACAGCTGTATGGATTGTTGTATTTGTATGGTACTTCATTAGAAAATAAACATATATCTTCCATCTCGAGCATGAAGCAAAACAGTATTAAACCAGATCTCTGATAGTTAATACAACTGTCTCTACTAAATGACACATTTGTAAGAGTTGTGTGAATCACTGCAAGGAAAAGGTTGCGAAAACTCTAGTGACTGCAGTTATGTGTTGGCACAGCCAAAACAACTGCTCCTGAGTTAATGTAGAAATGTATTTTTCTCTTGGTTTGTGGTTGCAAAAGCCTGCTTTGATAACATTGCTAATATCAACTAATGATTCAGTATGCAGTGAAGGAGCAAATCATGCATCAGCAAACTGGAATAAACCAGTCAGCTTTAGCCTGCTTCTGGAACTTCATACTTGGCTGTGTTTATATTTTTCTCCATTAGAGACCCACAGCAGGAGCCATAAAATTCATCATCACTAGATTTAGTCCTGCCAAGGGTTTGCTGAACACACTAGGCTATAGCATAGAAATGCTGGACCGGGCTAGTATTGATGCTTCAAGGATTAATTATCCACCCTCTTCCTCCTTAAGGCCATTTCCGTGTTCAGAGATTGCCATGGGATATACAGTCAGAACTGTTAGGATGGACAAAGTCCATCTTTGAAGCCCTGCTAGCAGAAAGCGCTGCAGTTTCCCACTGCAGACCCCGAGAAGCTCCACTCTGCTGATGGACACCTCTACAAGGAATGGTGTATCAGCTAGCAGAGCTCACCACACCTCTGTCTGGCAGTGGGAGCAAACCCAGGACTTTGCAGAGCTCCTCCACATTCAAGCTCCTGGGCGAGCCATGGCAAAGCACAGGTAATGTGTTTATGAGCCAGCTGAGGAATCAGTGGTGGTAAGCATACCAACACAATCAGCAAATATGTGGCTCATGGGAAATGCATATTTTATGTCAGAACAAATGGCATTTCTACAACCAATTTGGATAAGTATACAGGGAAACAGATTACTTGTCACAAAAGCACCTGCTGTTAGAAATAGGCTATTTTCAGACTAATCATATTTTCCTGTTTTCTGTACCAGAATATCTTAGCAATTAGTATAGTAATTGCAATAATATAACTAGTTGCAGAACATTCAAACAAACTTCCATTTGCAAAGTGTTGTTCAGATACATAAATACTGGGACTAGGTATGAGTATAGGATTAAATCTGATCACTTTTAGATGGTTTAATCCCACCTGATCTTTTCTCAAGAAAAATGGCTAATATGGCTAGGAAGCAAAATACCACATTTAGCACAGCCCTCCCTAATTAACCCTGGTAAGAAACCATGCGATGGAGCAGAGCACCACACATCTGCACCTAGCCAGCTCTGGACGTTTAGTTCAGGTATCTTGATGTAGTAGCACATTGTGCTGTAGAAACATAGCATACACCATAATTACGCTTATTGGCCTGCTCACGCCATAATTAATTAGGGAGCTGTTCTGAAGACCAGGGCTTTTGGATGTATACAGTGATGACAATTAAAATGTTGGCATTTGTCAACAGTTACTTCACCCCAGGCACTACCTAACGAGCCACAGTCGGCTGTATACATGGAACTGAAATAACCATGGTAACTATGGGTATATAGTGACATTTTAATGATCACTACCACCTATCCTCAGGCCATCACTTGCAGAACTAAATGGCCCATCAAGAAGCAGATGAATCAAGTGGCATCCATGCAATGTGTGAAAAATGCTAAGCACTTTTAGGGATTAAAGCCATTTATATCTACCTTGGAAGGGAGAAATGAGAGATAAACATAATACAAAAGCATGTATTATGAAGAAATAATAAAACTACCATATCCTACTGCAGCAACTGCCACTAAAATGTCAGTATCTACCAATAGCTAGCACAAATTGGTATCTAAGATACCAAAATTATTTCCTATTTTAAGTATAAGTGCCTCTTACTACATACTGACTTTATAAATGGCAGCAGCAGTATCAAAGGTCTTTCATGCTCAGTCACTGCCAAACTGCAGTAGAAAAACTATCAGTAATAGAACACAGCAATTCTCAAGCAAAGATGAGGATGCAATACAGCACTTTATTAACACTTTCATACAATCTGACCTGTTTTTAAAGAAAAAGATGGTGGAATCCTCTATTTTATTATTTTTTCTTCATCCTGATGAAAAGTCTGGTTTCTTAAAGCATTCAGGAATTATACTATTTTCTCCATGGTGAGGGAGAGGATTTGAGTGCATATAAAACTATCTGTAAAACTGTGTTGTATTTAGAAGTTTCACTTACCAAAATGAAGAGACAACCAGAGGCAAGTTTTGTGTGTTCAGGAATAGTAGAAAACACGGACAAAATCAAGCAACCAAACACAAGGAGAAAACTGAAAAAGAAAGAATATTAATAATTGTTAATATTTTTCAGAACCCTGATCCAGTATCTATATTGATCCTACTTCACCAACATTAATAGAAGACTATCAGTGAATAGTCTCCATTAATAGAAGGGAATTCAACCACTACTTCACTTACTTCATTAAAAACATTAGAATGGCCTATTACTAAATCCACATGCTTCTGAGCAGCACTGCTAGAATTCATGGAAACAAACACAACAAACAAGATTTTCTTGGAGAAATGACCCAATATACACAGACACTACTTTCAGTATCACAGTCCTGTATCTTTATGCAGTCCAGATACTCTTAGTGGCTCTAAAGAAAGACCACCAATGGGATAGTCCTCTCACCAGACTGAAAAATCATTTCTCTCCAAAAGTGACCGCAGATATCTGCTCTATAAGATTATCAAAAAGCTAAGATGCATATTGCACCTAACTGCTATGACTTTGTCCATTTTAAACAACTTCCTTCTGAGCAACAGACTTCATGTACAAACCACCAGAAGCTGAGAGGTAGTTGAGTTACGAAATCACTGCCCTAAATGGCCAGGCTCCATTCTAGGAACAAACTTAACATTATACAATCCATTGAAGAAGTTAAAACAAAGGAGTGAATCAAGAAAGTCTTACACAAGTCATGCGATTACAATCGGGAAAACACAACCACAATTTTGAGCTTGCATGAACTTGCATGTTTCATGGTACTGACGAATACACGCAGGCAAAGCAAAGCACCGACACGCTGCTAAATCTCTTTGTGAGGAAGATGCAAACACTCTGTATCACTGTAGAAATTCTGCATGTCTGATCCTTACAGCATACAGCACAGGTGTTGTGTACAAACATGAGCCTGAAGAGCTGGTATTGCTCTGAGGCCTATACTATGGATGATAAGGAATCGCTTTCCTATTGTACTGCATCGCCAATAATAAGGCCACTGTGCTGGTGAAATCTTCTACGAAATGAATCAGAACAGAAGTTCATTTCACCCACAATACCATGAACTGACTAATCAGCAGCTAGTGAGTGCAAGGCGGTGCATGCTCTATACTTTAAATTTTAGCACTTGAACTATATTTTGCAAGTAGTAATTGATTCTATCAATGTTTTGCTAATTTCCTTCTTAGAACACTTGTCAGTCATGCTGGGCAGCGAGTCAACCAAAAAAGGGCAGGCCTGTGGCTTTTGTCTTCATTGCTAAGACTCTTGTTAGCAGCTGCTCTTACCCAACATGAAGAGGTATTGCAGCTAATGCAGATATATACCTGCAAAAAAGACAAATGGCTCCTTCCTGATACAAAAGGGAAAAAGCATAGAAATTACTGATCTATGTAGAGGGTGCATATACTCTTCAGTGTGATGTTTCCATCAACCAACACAAGAATTCTGAAGACAGAGAAAGCAGCTTTTCAGAAAAGTATTTGAGGGGTATGAGGGAGTGTTCCTGGCGGCCAAGTTGAACATCACTCAGATATGTGCTCTTGTGGCAATGAAACCCAAACACATGCTGAGCTGTACTAGCAAGAACATATCCAGCAGGTTGAGGGAAGTGAGTTTTTCTCACTGTTTGGCATCTGAGAGACCACATCTGGAGTGCTGTGCCCAGTTTGGGGCTCCCCAGCATGGGAGAAAGATGGACAAACTCAAGCGAGCCCTGTGGAGGGCCATCAAGGTCGTCAGGGGCTGAGCAGAGCTGGGTTTGTCCAGCCTGGACAAAGGGAGGTTGAGACCCCTGACTGCTGTCCTCAGCTATCTAATTCTGGTTATAAGGAAGGCAGAAAGGACACAATTTGCAGGAAAGAAACTTATGACTATCTGTATGGAAAAAAAAAAGTCAGAGTGAAGCTGGTTCAGCACCGGAACAAGTTGCCCAGCGAGGCTGTGAAATGTCTGTCCCTGGAGATTTCAGAACTTGGCTGGAAAAGGCTCTGGTCTGACTTTGAAGTGAGCTCTGCTTTGAGCAGGAGGTTGGACTAGATGACCTGAAGAGGCCTTTTCCAACCTAAATTCTATGATTCTAACTACCAGATACAAACATTAATGTATTACTGCATCTGCCCCCACTTGCACTTCAGGAACTAAAATTGCTCTTTCCCTTATAATATATGGACTTTCCATAGTGCTGTGATATAGTAATGCTGTAATATATCCAGTACATTAGACAAAAATGTAAGTCCATTGCTTCAGAATTTCTAGTCGACAATCTGATGTGTGATGCGATAAGACATGCAGGCACATTTTGTAGCGTATCACTTAACTGCTGGGAAGAAGTTCTACTCTGAAAATCAGATCTGGTAGGAGCTTGCATATAAGCTCTACCACAAACTGTAAATAAAACAGTATCCAGGAGGGTAAAGGGCATCTCTGGCACATACCATTGGCAAGTCTATCTTCCAGTCTAAAGAAAGATAAAGATCAGCATGTATATGCTTAAAGATTTCATAAAAATCTCTTTCAGGTGACAAAAATCCACCTTGTGAGCAATTTTGCTCCCCTTCCCCCCACTTTTTTAAAAAAGGAAAATCTCCCTGAACATTACTGGTAGTTTCAGCTGCTACAGTCTTCAGATACAACTCCCCTATAATTATATCTTACTGGCATAGGCATAAATGTGGTTTCTCCTGGTTAAGGCTTGTACGGAGGGCAAAATAAAATTAAGGAGTGACTAAGAATTTATGGTAAAAGGATGTCATTTCCTTGTGCTGAATTTCTTTAGTCCTGAATCAGTTAAAATGATATTTTCTTTCTTCCTTTGTGTTTAGGTATTAAAAATTGCTCTTGTTTAGTTGTATTCCAGTAATACCAACTAAATTGGAGGCCCAGTTGTACTGGGTCTTTTCCAAACACACAATGCAAGTTTTCACTTGGAAGAGATCTCTTATAGCACAATTATAGAAAACAGACGCAGCAGGAAAAAAGAAAGCTTGTTGTTCCCATATCACAGCTGGAGTCCACGGCACAGAAAAGGTAAGCGACTTGCCTAAGGCTACATGGAAAGTCTTTATATGTGGAATAAACCTGAACCTTTTAAGTCCCAGCCCAGTCCTGCAGTCACAAAGCCATCCTCCACTCACCCACCACTCACTTTGCCATAGTTCCTCAGGACTGTGATTTAGAAGATCACCGTGGGCTGTGTTAATTCATGATAGATAGGAAAAGTGAGTCAGGAGAGGGAACCAGTACAGTTAAGCAGTGTATTAATCAAAATAAAGGTAAATATTCAGGAAAGCCAGGTGCAGTTCAGATTGGCACCTGGTAGACATAGTTCTGCAGATTACCCATGAAAAGCAGAAACAATCCTCACAGCAATACATAAAAATAGTCTTGGAAGATATTTTTCCAAACCTCTAAAACCTTTTGTTCTCAGTTTTTCCAGAAATTCTACAAGGACTGGAGCATTGTTATTAATTATTATTATTAAAGAACAAAAGAAAAATGTTTGCATTTATCCACCCACACACTCAAATCTTGCCCCTCTATCCCTCATTCTTCCCTCCAAAACTTTTTTTACTGCCATTCAGCATACTATGTCTAAAATTAGACTCTAATCACTTTGGGGGAGGGGAGAAACCCAGTTCTATTAGCCTCGCAAAACTAAAAGCATACTTTTAGGTGCTGTAAAACACAACACTAACAACAAAAGTAAAAGGATTAAGTGTTCTGAAATATTCTCTATAGTTTATTTACCATTGACATGCTTTCCTACAAAGTAAACCAATAGTCAGGATTCACTTTTTACCTTTTTTAATTTAATCTGTTTACTCAGGCCATGTAGTGAAAGCACCTCTCTTTTTCCCCAGCGAGAACTGAAGGCATGGGGGATACAGCAATGCCTTTCACCTGGCTGGATGTTAAAGAAGGATCTGTCCAGCAAAAATAAATCCCTAAGGTTCAAACACCGTGGTGGTCAAAGTGTTTCAGAAGTTCTTTCCTATCATGAACTATTTCTCCAGTGACAGGTGAGGTGTGGAGGATTGCATTAGGCCCTGGATAGTCATTTTATAACCATCAATAGAGGAAAAAGTCTTTTTGAAAGCCAGCATTTGAACTGTGTGCTATGATACATGCTATACAAGAAGAGGCTGCTGTAGGTAGAGAGTTGTACAAAGCAAAACACAAAGCAATTATATTTGGCCTCTAGTGGTTCAATCTGGATCATATATTTGTTCAGGCTGAAAAAAACAGATGGTCTTTCCGCATGCATTCAGTATCAGACAGTAAAACATATGCCTTAGGCAGTAACTTCCCATAAAATTATTCAAGCACTGCCATAGTCTTGTATTTTATCAAAAGCAGCAACTTCCATTTTGTTTCAGCAGTAATCAGTTTTGATGCAAATCCTTTCATCTTATTCCCCTGCTTCTGAAAGTGTACACTAATTGGAGAAAAGCCAATTTATGAAAGATAATATAACTCAGAAGCTTTGATATTTATTCAGTCTGCCTCTCATAAACTTTTCTTACTGGTTCATTAGGAACTACCAATTCTCCATTTATTTAGTTTTCAACAGAATGTTACTATAGTTTGTGATTTAAGGGCTGTTCATATAGAAGAGGATGTTCATCTTAAAGCAATTGTTAAAATGTTACTCAGGGAATATCATAAGCATAAAAAATACACTCAGGGAAGATCTTTAAAAACTATTTTGCTACATTATTTACTGCTAGAATTACAATAATCAAAAGTTAAACATCTGCAAACAGTTTTATGACCTCTTCCGTAAATAATAAAAATGTATCACAGTTAAAGTGACATAATTAAGCACTTAGACCACCAGAGTTATGCTCCAGTATTATTTGAGGTCTGATTTAATCCCCATAAATGCAACGACCTTCAGGATTGTGACCAAAACTGCAAACCATTGGTACTGCCATTATCCTGCATTTTGTATGGAATGTAGAAAATGTTTGAAAGCTTTCGCTGACTTTAATTATGACCAAAAAGTAGCTCTTACTTTTCCTCACTGGTACAAAGTCA